GAATCAGCTGGGCAGGATAGCTTTTATATCGTCAAGTTTAGTGGAGAGATTAATGTCTCCATTCTGCAGCTGAAAGATTTCTTTGTCTGATTTTCCTAGAATAACTCTTCTTGGATCAAAATATTTTCTTCTTAACTGCTTTAAGTTATGTCATGGTAATATGTCTTTAAATCTAAACCCATAAATCTTACATACCAATCTACCACTTGTCTTTCATAGCATATTATAAAGGATTAGTGCATTTATTTTTTTTTGCAGGGGGAAGAGGTTTGAGATGATCATACACACATAGTTTGGCATGATACCCTTGTTTGTTCAGTTACAGGTTAGCTCTGGGGTTTTTGTTCTGTTTGGGTTGTATTTAAACATTTTTGAGATTCAATAGGCGCTCTAATCCCACACGATATCACCAGCAGGTGTATCAGAATCTGGATCACTTAAATCAGACTGTGTGTCTGATCAGTGTGGGATGATGAAACCACTTTGTAATGAGGGTGTGCTGGTGATTGAATCTATGTGTCCTTTTTCCAATTCTTTTTATTCTAAAAATAATTTCTGCAGTCATTCGGTGTTTCCATGAATAAGACAATTTGTATACAAATTAGCCAATTCCTCTATAAGACAATAAAAGGACCTGATGTTGTAACATTGCATAAAAAGGAGAAAGAAGCAAGACAGTATAAGGACTTTCTTCACACAGTTTATATCATATGCTACACAATTTTTTATTTGCATATGCTCAACAATAATCTGACATCCCTTAAAAGTAATGCTTATTCCAGACATGATTCTATTGTTGATACATCTGTTTCATCTGTAGCTATGTTATTTGACCAGGAAGAAAATTGCTTTAAGGAGAATTTTGTTAAATATTGAGACTGGAAAATTCTTAGGTTTTCAAGATTTTTCCCTTTCTATGGCAAAATGATAGGAGTGATAGTAAAAGGAAAAAATCTGTTGCCATAGGACAAAAGTTTCTTGCAATATTTATAAAAATACTGGAAAGATTAGTTTGGATTTTGAAACACAAACTATGCAAATTAATGGCACAGTTTCTGGCTTACAGAAGGAAACTCAGTTTTAGGAGCTGTAAACCTTCAGTGAATTTGGGCCTAGTTGGGTCTGTGGATTAAAGAAAGTTGGCATTTACCACATGACTTAGTACTTTTATAAATGAGCATTTCTGTTAGAAAGTTTAAAAGGGAAGGGCTGACAAATATAAAACCAGTGTCTGGCCTGTAAATAGAAGACAAGCGTGGCAAAGGATTGGAGCTCTCACTGGAATACTATCTGAGAACCTCCTTGTTTTTGAATGCTTGATGAATTTTCAGTAGTGGTAACTTTTGTTTCATTTGGCCTCCTTTGATATTGTTCATTACTTCATATTCATTGCAACCTGACCCAAAGACAAAACTGGACTTTTACGCATAAGGAAACTTAAACTTAGTTTACATATGTACTCTTACAGTGTCCACAGATTGTTTGCAAGTAGGGTGACTGTGAAATGCTACTGATGGAAAATTTCAAGCATTGGCCTTGTAGGATTCTTTTCTACACAATTTTGACAAGTAACCTCCCCATGATGTTGTTGTTATGCTCTAAATAGATTCTCAAATCTTATCTAGAGCCCCCAGATTTTATTATGTTGAGCTTTCACAGCAGTGAAACACATTCAGAAAATTGCTCAGATATTTTTTCTGCAATATTGAAGTATTTTTCAAAGAGCATATGAGCCATGAATGTGATGGTTTGGTTTTGTTTTGTTTTAATTATTGTGTGTCTTATCAGTAGGGTAAAAGAAATTGCACTATTTTTCAGATTTGGGTCATATTGACCTCTTTTATTCTAGCTCACTTCATGGTATTAATTATAGTCAGGACTTAATGAACATAATTTCCAATTATGCATTTGTTGTAACGAGCTGATGTAATAAATTCTTGTTCATAAATATAGGTGAAGCAAAAGTGCTAAGACTAGGAAATATTCTGTTAGAGAGGGGCGCCTGTAACAAAGTTTCAATGGGAAATAAATTACTCCAAATAATGTTGTTTAAGGCTTGATTTCTTTATAAAAGAAGCAGCCAGCCATAACAAATTATTTTCGAGTTCTATTGGGTTTGTATATACAATTGAAAGAAAGAAACAGAATGTTCTTTGTGTTTTTTCCATTTTTGTTTAGCCTCATAGGTTTACCCTCCTTGGAATTAAAGAAAAGATACTTTTAACAATTTTTATGACCTGTTCTTGAACTAGATACTTCTTATGTACTTTGTAGCATGACTGGATTTAAACAAGCTTTTCATCTTCTTTATGGTGTTTGTGAAGAATACTGCACTTAGCTGACAGTAAAATAAAAGCATTTTTGTGTGTGTATTTCACCAAACTTTCATTATTGCAGTCATGCACTAGCTATTTCCTAGCCTATTCTTTAACTGCAGCAGCATGATCACCCATTCATCTATCTAATGTTCCTCAGAAGATTCGACTAAGTAAGAATACGTAGATCTGAAAAGGATAATCTGACTTCCAACAAGGATCCTTTCAGTTATGTGTTTTTGTGGGATTTGAATATACCAAGCTGACATCCTTCACTCATCTGATACTCGAAGGGTGATTAGTGATCTCTAACATTTTAAGTGGGAAGACACGTTTCCTTACTTTGTGCCTTGACTGTCAAGATTTCCTAGCCTTATCATTTAAATCACCAGTCCAACCAGGTTTTTTCCTAAAATAAAATTACTTTTCTTTTTGGAGAGGGAGAAGTGACGATGGAAACTGCAAAATGCCATTAAACAGCTGCAAAAGTCAAGCTTGTACTTGTGAAGTGTTGTGAAAGTTCACATGATGCCTGTCTCACAGATGATTTGAGTTCTTCATAGCTACTGAATTTTGTAGTCTTTGTAATAATCAAAATTACCACTTTATTAATTTTCTTTTTTTTTTTTCCTGTAAGATAGTATCCTGAAGAATCAAGATACAGTATTAAAGTTATTTAAAATGCAGGGGGGAAGAATTTTTTGTTTTTTTCAAATTGTATATTTGCCACTTTCTTCGGTGGAGAAGAATTAAGTGGCTGTCCTTGGTGTAATTTCCCTTGAAACCAAAGCCTGATGAGTCTGTTTCACTAAATGGAGTTTCCCATGTTTAGCTCAATATTGGGCACCCTGTTTCAGCTTCAGTTAGTTGTATTTAGTTCCTAATCACTATAGGCAGTTTCTCTGTCAGCGGAATGTCCCATCTTAATATGGAGAAACACTATAACTTTGGGAAAAAGTTTTTCAGTGGAGCTCTAAAATTGTGCTGTATCTGTTTCGAGAATTTGGTGTGATGCTCTTTTCTGGGCATAAGTCCAACACTTTTTAAATTCTATTAAATTTGGTGACCAAAATTTAGGTCCACAAAATTTCTAGTTACTTCTAACATTATTGCCCATTTACTATGCCTAACTTTGTCTAGATTCACTTCACTGGCTTTAGTCCTGAACTGTATCTGGTGGAAATTTAATATAAAATGCTGACATAATCCATGAAAGTAGGAACTAGGACGAGGACACCTTTCTTTCCCACCCTTGTTTGGAGTGAAGCTGCAGCTCATCTTGGTTGCTGTGCTCTATGTCCGATATAGTTATTACCAAGTTTCTCCCATGCAAGATACAGGTTCCCCAAGGGGTGGAAATTGTCCAATTGTCATGTGGCATGGAGGCTAAAGTGTAAATCATCAAACATGGGAACAAAAGGGTTCATTTTGTAAAATATAAGATCCTCCTGAGTGTTTTTAAAAAGGAAGGCTAAGTGAATGAGACTCTTTTCCTATCCTAATCTTTTAGGATAAAGTAAAATTCATTTATTCTCAGATTTTTTTACTCAACGTAGGAAAGGAAACCTGTAAATGAGTGCCATTCCTCTGAAATCTGGTGGTAGATTTAAGCAGTGTGGAGCTACTATTTGTTTAATGAAATCTCCCTCAACAATTGTATTTTAAGCGTTCATTAATCCTCTGGATTAAAGGAAATATTGTGAATATAATTGTTATTTTTATTTTTATTAGTTAAGATAGTAGAAAACCACTCACAGTTCTGTATATTAGGCAATGAAGTATTGGGATAGACAGAGCAGTTAAATCAAAGAACTGAAGACTCCTTTGGAGGAGTACCAGAAGCATGTTATATGTGGGCAGCCACCATTACTTTCTGCCTCAGCAAAGACTGGTACTGATTAGTGTTGTCAGTACCTTTCAAATATAAAAATGCATATTTTCCTACATGATTTTATTATTATTATTTTTCCAGAAAAAGGAAGTAGAGCTAAGCTCCAACAAGCTACAGAAAATATTGTGCAACCCAGTGAAACCCAATTCATTTGTAGTAACATATTTAATCTTTTTAAAAGAAGCATAGACAGTAATGAAGTCTTAGCATAGCAACCAGCATGTTGCAATTATGGGAAGCCAAGGTGTTACAGACCTTCAAAAGCAGGTCTGTGAAATCCAGTAGGCATGAATACAGTACAGTGTGATCTCATATCATCATGCAAGCAAACAGTCAATTCTGATTCTTCTCTCAGAAGTCCTTAGACAAGAATTTGAGAGGAAAATAAAATAAATGAGAGCTTATTCACTATACATGCCAATTAACCATATTTTAATGTTTGAAGAAACTAATGGGAAAAGAAGATCATGTTATGGCTCAAGCTTAACACCACACATAGTGTCATACTCTGCTTTGCTGAGTGTTGGGCTCTCCAGTTCACTTTTTCCAAAACCATCAAATGCCTACCAGACTGGTATTTCTGCTGTGACACTCATCAGCAGTTCTTGTCTCTTTCCTTTTCTGAGTGCATTACTGTAATTCTTTAATCTCTGGTTGTCACTATAAATGTTCATTATAAATATTCTGTGCTGAGAAATTAGGTCATATGGCAAACTCTTCTTTGTTTTATTATTGAAAATTTACAACACCCACAAAATATATCCTTTACTGTGCTTATTTTTCAACTTTGTTAGATATCACAAGGAGCATCTCTGAATGATTTAAGGAAAAAGAAGAGGCGTGCCCCTCTTCCACCAGCTGCATCTGCTCCACCCACTCCTGCCATGCCCAACAGGACAGAAGACAGGGAAGACAAGAGGAGGAGCACAATGGGTGAGAGGCGTTCTTTTCTCCTGGATAACCCTATTCATGTGCTTTCACTACTCACTGTTTGAAGTTGGCTTAATTCTGTTATGCTGTGAGTTTGGAATGGAAACGTTTGTAACTTGGGGAAAAACTACATTTCTCTGCAGAATGAAAGTCTGGAAATAAGTGTTTGTATATTACCTTTTTTTTTTTTTTTTTTTTTTTTTTTAATGGCACTATTCAGAGTACCACAGGGTAGTAAAATGTAGATAACACTCATCAGATGATTTGAATATTCGGCACAAACTTTATATTGAAAAACACTAGCCCTGAGCCTATTCTGCGCCTTGAAGGTCATATTGGTTTGCTAGTAAATGGAAATACAGTAATAGTAAATGGAAATGCTAATAAAAGGAGATAGGTGAGGCAATACTGAATACATCTGAAGCCATGAAGTTCTGCTAGGACCAAAGTACAGTCAACTCGGTTCAGTGTTTCCTCATGTTTCTAAAGCCTGAAGGCATTTGATTTTCATATAGTCCTCCAACAGTTTGACGTCAACTGCCTATATAAAGTTAGGGGGTTTTTAAATTTCATCCTCACTTTTATTATAAATCACTATCTGATGATTCTTTAGCTAATCAGTGGAAGAAAAGAACTGATGCTCTCAAAGGAATGCCATATGTATCTAGACTCAACAAAAGAAACTGTAGCTTCAGCTGCATGTGGTGCCACATTTACTCACAGAGGAAAACTGAAAAACATTCTCCCAGACCTCTGTTCTTATCTGCCTGGTAGCATGTTCAGATTGGTGAGAGCTTTGCTTGAGTGACGATACCAGGATTATGCTTCTAGCAAGCAAAGTGATTTTATAATGGGTCAAGTTATGAGATAATGACCCTGTATATTGGAACTCATTTTTCAGTACATTAAGAGAATCATTCTTCAAGTGCTGTAATGCACTCAGTGCACTTCAGTTCATGCCTTTGACCTCATGTTTCGTAAAATGCCTAAGACATACAGATATGACATTCTGTCATACTTAATTGCTTACATTACAAATGCCTCACAGTTTAGTAAGAAACCTCCTGGCTTTGTTCCAACATTTATTTTCAGTAAATGCTTCACATTCAATGCCTCAGCATTTATGTAGCAGCAGGAATCCATTATCATGTGGCATATTCAACTCCATTGACATCTCTTATTTAAACTCTTTGAGGGCAGTGTTATTGGTGGGCCAAATAACACAAGAGTTTTCAGCAAATTGGCTTATTTTTAATCACTACAGAGGTCACACTGCTGCTTCTCATGCTTTTTCCTACTACTGGTCACTTTTTGATGACATTTGTTGCTTTAACTTTTTATAAGTGTACTTTTTCTTTTGTATTGGTGCGGAAATGTTACAGATGAGATATAACAGAGCAGAGCTACTTCTAGTCTGTTCAGTACTGTGTACATAAGTGCTTGTTGGAGTGCTCGGCTCATGTAGGATTCTGTAGTATCATTTGCTTTAATGGAGCCTTATTATTTTACACTGACAAAGAACTCATCCCACAGTAGCCCTGTCTTCACTGTGTTTTGTTTCCTGCTACATTCTTGAATGAATGTGTTCATTAACAAGAAAAAATGTTACAGCCAGAGAGGGTTGGTAAAACAGCCTTTCTTCAGGGCCCTTACAAGAAAACAATGAGAAAGCACAGATGGCTCTGAAAGCATGAGAGAAAAGCTGTGAAAAAAGCAAGACTCTACTGAGGGGAATAAATGTGCTGCAAGAAATAGTCAGCCACATGATGAAAAAAAGTATTAAAGATACCTGTGTAGCTCTCAGTTAGCCATGTGAATCAAAGCGAAAGATCAATCAAAAATATTCTCAAACTGGCAAGTTCCCTGTAGTATTCAATACTGAATCAGTTATTGTGACACCGAAGTATTGTGCCAAATTTCCTCAAAGCAGTAAAAAAAGGACTTGCACATTTGCCAGCATTAAATTGTGTCTCTGGGAGATATTCCTCTGGAAACTAGTGACTCTTAAGTAAAAAATCATAATGGCTTAATCTTTTTTTCTTCCCCCTTGGTGCTGCTTCCCTTCTCAACAGCCCCAAAGCACAAGCCAGAGACTGTAGGAATGGATCTGACCAAACATCTGTCTCTGCCAGCATCCATCTTCAGCAATGACCACAGCACATGTTTGAGGCAGGATATGAAAGCAGAATAAGCAGGTAGTCATGGTTCTTCAGTGCACTTTCAACCTCTGAGGACTTTCCAAATAATGGTAGCTTAAGTTCTGTACACTACCAACTGGCAAGGGCTTTTTTGCATTGAAAGTTGTTCATAGAGTATAGTGCAAAGTCATATGTATTTCTTTAGTTATTGCACATAGTGTTGAAATAATCCCCCCAACAAAGTTATGGGCATTTCCTTTGATAGCTTCAAACACTATTTTGTAAAAAAATCATCTGCTTCTCTACAATGTCAAAATAATGAAAACTGACTCAAAAAGAAGAGCAGAAAAGCCTGTAAGATATCTACTTCAAAACAGTGACCTAAGGCATCTTCCTCTTTTTCTCAGAAAGAGTCAGGAAAATAATCACATAAAGTATCTGAGAGGTCAACAAATTCAGGCAGTTTGACACTTCAGAAGATAAAATAAAACACATTTTCTTACACAGCTTTTTTCAATTTTTTTTTAGTTTGCTTAACTATTTTTCTCCTTCATTATGCCTGTCAAAACCAGAGATTTTAACTGGTAGTTGTAATGTACGTGTATGTGCTGGGCTCAATTCTGGTCCCACTGCTGTTGGTTTAAGACGGACCTTTTCTTTCTCCCTTAATTATTTGGATGTAATTAAGAGCAGGACTAGATCCAGGGAGACTTTGGATGTGGATAAGGGAAAATCAGTGTGTTTTTAAAAAATAAAAGTGAACAGAGTGATCATTATGTTGCAATGAAGTAACAAGTCAATTGATCCCCCTGTAGGTGATGGACGGCAGGTGCCACAAAAGCCTCCTAGGGGCACCACTCGGGGTCCCCCCCAGTTAGTGATCCCCCCACCCCCACCTTACCCTCCTCCTGACAGTGACATTGTGGATCCAACAGTGTGTTACAGAGAAGCAGATGTTACAGCACCAACAGAGCTGGTACCTAAACGTATGTTTGAAAATATATGTATTTGCATTTCCATTCTTTTCATGATTACTCTCAGGTGTAGCTTTTCCAGACTTTCCTTTCTGCTCTTTAGACATCCATGTCTGTTTTTCCCCCTTTTTCCAGCCTGTTGTCTTTCAAAATGCCCAATGCAGTGTAACTAATTAATATAAAGTAAGCAAAACTCTTGCTTGGAGAGAGTTTTGCATGCAATACCTGGTCATTGTATATTTTAAAGTAACCATCAAGCTTTATTGCTGTGTTCAACTGAAAAAAACAAATCTTTTGTCTTTTATTAATTCCCCAAGTTTGGTTTTCTGTACTAACAATTTTTTTGTCTCCCCATAGATGATTTCCTTTGAGAGTCAATGGGTCTATCAGTCTAGGCTGAAAACTACAGTATCTTCCTTAAGAAAATTAAACCATTTGCAGGCGCTCTATATTGTTATAAGCCTTCCTGTCCTAATGGGTACATCTTTTTTGGAATCTCTGAGTAGTCCTTTGTGTGCTCTTCACCTTGGGTCATAACAGTTATCAGACAAAGAAGTACAATATTTTTCACATGCCCATGGACTTGTGAAAGGCATGTTTTCATGCTGCTTTTTCGTGCTTATCCATTGACTGCCTTTAAATCTTTGTACACAATCCAAGTCTTTGATCATGTATTATGTTCCCTGTGGGCTTGCCCTGCACACCCATGTAGAGCCGGTAAAAGCAGCAAAGCTCTGCACATTATGACATCTCACGGATGCACTTTCTTTGAAGACTAGGAGGGTGTCTCCTAACCATGATAGAGAAATGTCTCCATTAGGTCTCTTTCCAGGATGTTATGTTCACCAAAAGTACTCTGCAGGTGGCAGTTACTCTAATACATTATTGTGGGTGTGTTTGCTGCTGATTACCAGTCAACTCTAAAGCACTATTTGACAAATCTGTGCTGAGGAGATAAAAATTGTTAAATTTTATTGGAGCTAACAATGGAAATTAAGGAGCTCATACTAACAGAAAACCTAAATCCTATTGAGGATTAACCCTAAGACATCTTTAACAACTTATACACAGAAATTATATCATACTTTAAATCTTTTTGTTCTAGATACCATCGGCTTGCCTATGATGTTTTCTTTATTAAAAATCCATTGTGGCCTTTTTTGCATTAATATTTCTGCTTCATTTGAGTTTCCATCACTGTTATTTTGCAATGCCTTCCTGATCTACTTTACTGATCAAATACCCTTTAATCAATGCAACCCTGATGTAATCAGTGTGATCATCTGCTCTTAAACAAACACAGTATGTCAGCCAAAAGGATTTGATTAAGTTTGTATATAGAAACATAACGTGAGTTTTTATTGTCCTCAATTTACTGAGAGCAAGAGCTTAGTGGGTACTTACTTTAGACATAAAGCATCAGTGTTGTAGAGGGACAAATTTTAGCTCTGTAATTATGCTTTGTCCTACCTAGATAAAGATAAGTGTGTAGATTTACACAAGAGAAGTGTGTATAGATGTACCCATGAGAGACAGCAGCACGTAGGACAGATGCTAATTACATTGCCTAATGCCATTCTGAAAGGTGCTTAGATACCGTTGGGATTGAGCACTGGAAGAACAATGTTTTGCAATGATGTGTTTTATTGCCTGAGAATGCCTCAAGCAGTGCAAATAAGATTTGAGCGGTAGATTCAAAGAACAACAAAATTTTCAATCTTCCTAACTCTAACCTCAGTAAATGTGTTTTCTCATAGAATGAGATGGGGAGGACGATAAACTGCTGATACCAGGTGTTGTTAAAAGATATGGGTTTTTTCTGAAATCACTCTCAAAACAGCTTTCTCTGATTACAATTGTGGTCTTCATTTGCTGGGTGGGTGACTGTCAACAGCAGTGTGTGTTCCATGAGAAAAAAAATCCCATTTAGAAGTTAAAATTCTGTGATCACGTGGCGTTTAAATTCTCATTCATGATCTACGACTGTCTGTGAAGGACTGTCCTGTCTGCCTGCCTTCCTGCCTGCCTCCCCCTCCCAGCAAACACACAGTTGTCTCTTTGTGCTCTGGAAGACACAGGTTGAGGGATTTTCATTTCATAGAGAGTGGTGGCAATCATTGCTCATTGAGTTTTCCAGATTTATGTGGAGTGTAAGTCACTCATGAGTATGGCCTTTAGTAAGATACTTGAGCTTTTCTGTATTAAATTGTAAGAATCTCTTCCACAAACAAGAGTACAAAAGTTCCTTGCAATTTTTGCTCTTAAATATTTTCATTCTAATTACACGACCTTTTCTCTAACATTTGGTCTGGTAGAACCTTAGCTGCATGTTGTGTGCACATTTAAATTGGTGTGTTTATGGGATACCTTCTCCTTCCTTATCTTACTAATCAGATTGTTCACGGTCTGATTCCAAGATTGACTGTACTTTGGGAATGCAGAGATGGAGATTGCTGTATGGTGTTTGGTTATGTCACATTGCTTGTGAAGTTCCAAGTATGTGAGTTGATCATAAGCTCTTTGCTACTTACCTGAGGTAAAGAACGCACATAGTGAAAGACTGCTGCTCCTAGACAAGCAGCTGAAACATGCTGCCTTGAAATGTCAACCAGCTCACTAGAGTAAATTGAGTACTCCTATGAAACTCCACATTAGCCCTTTATTTGGCTAGTCATGAACTATCATTAAGATATGCAGTAAGAAATTAAAAGCTCTATGGGAAAGAATATAGAATATGCTCTACCGTCCTGTAGAGTGAGATCCTGAAGTTAAGTTTTTCACTCTGGCACTGCATAAAGTACTATGATTTCAGGGCTCACACTGGGTAAAGACTTGACAACTGACTGATTTGTAAATTTCAGAAAGTGCACTGTCTTTGAAGAAATGAAATAATGATTTGAACCTATCCTTGTTTTTAACTGTAGAAAAAAATATTCAATCATCCCTTAATTAGAAGGTCTTTAAGGGGTGAAGAGGTGGGTACACTATTTTATTTTCTGTAGATGACATGTGTATTACTGGTTGATGAATAAAACCAGGTCAATTTTAAGGTACTAGAAGAACAGAAAAGAGCCTTGTCTATATATTTAAATTTTAATTTTTTTCATTTATATCACTGATATATGAACAGGTAATACAAGCCAGTTGGCAAAGGCTATGACAGTTTGGCAAACAGTTCAGTCATATTTCTTCAGTCACCTTAGATATATAGATATATATAGGTATATATAGAGATATAGATATATATAGTCTTTCACAGGACTAAATTCTAAGAGTTGGGTTTTGTTAGCATGAAGCAAAAATAGGTAGAAACACAGAGGAAACTTCACTCTTTTACATGTGGCTTTAAATCTGCTGAGAACTGAAGGCTGCTGTGCAGGGAGTTTTGCTGGGCTTGTCATGGTACACTGCTTCATAAGGCATGTGTCAAGTGACCCAGCCTTCTCTTTCTCAGAGGTGGTCTTTAAAGCAAGTATGCCTGCAGGTATGGTTTAGGAGGCTTTTGTTGCCATCACTACTCTTACTCATTCAGGCAATCTAAGTCTAAAGAATGAAGTTGAATCTCCAATATCATCTATCTTGCTCCTTCTGGAGAATTAAAATGCAGGCCAAGTAGAGCAGAATTCACAGACATACTGCGTATCAGTAAGTATTGTGTTTTTTAGGATTGAGTTAGCTTATACATGAACCCAGGCCCGTAGAGCAACTGTGAGATTCGGAATTTTAACACATGCCCATGCACCTACACCTCCTTTGGGCATCTGATTCTTTAATGTTACTGAGCATGCTAGCCATTCTGCTTACTGACCTACACAATACTTATAATTTTATCCTTTTTACTCTTTTCCCCCAACAGTTTACTGTTGTGCATCATTCCCTTCATACTCCAAGCGTGTCTGACAGACCTTGCCTCTTCCTATGACCTTCATACTTCTGAACCTCCTGTTGCCTCTGCTACCCTGATTCTTCTGTTGCCTTCCTTCCTCCTCTGCTGGGAAAAAAAAAAAACCACCTTTTTTTGGCTGAGATTTTGGCTTCTTTTCTTTTTAAACTCGCACATTCTCTTTAATTATTATTGATTATTTTTGGCTGTGGTTCATGCTCATTTGCGAGATATATGCTCCAGATCTGAATAGTGTGTTATATAAATCTACATATCAGCCTCAGAAAGATTATCTGTCGTTCTTTTTCAAAATATTCTCTTTATTTTGAGCCATGGTTTGCTTTGATTTGGTGTTGCCGAAGAGTGTGTTCTTGGGACAGGATGTCTTACTTTCCATATTGTTTAAAGTTTTAATGAAAAGTTTTAAGAACTTTTTTTTTCTTTCTTTCTGTTATTCTAGGTATAAAGTTTTGTATTCCCAACATGCTCTATTTTCCTTTTATTGCATCTATTTTGTTCCTTTGGAACAAAACTGGTACTGGGCATGGCCTAGTCAAGTTGAAGTGCAAGATTCTTTCTGTATCTTGGCTATCAATTAAGCTGTCAAGACAAAAGAAACAGGAAGATCTGTTGCATCTATAAGGGGCTTAAAAGGAATACCAAGAACAAATACCAAATGCACTGATTCATGTTCTTTACTTATGCTTTCATCCTGATGCTTAATATGAGTAATTTTATCTTGATGCTGGAGACATGCTGTGGAAATCGAGGTGTGTGTTCTATTTCTGTAACAAAAGACGCAAACACTGTTTGCTCAAGATACATCTTGTTCTACAAGTCTCCTTTTTACTCTTGTCCTAGGAATAGTCAGTGAGTTCTAATTAAAATATCATTTATAGGTTTGTACTTAGCAAAAACTTCTTTGTGCTAAAGGAAGTTCTTCATGAGAACGGCCCATAAGACATGTATTTTTAATAATCCTGAGCTACAAACATAGCTTTATGAGTTGTAATGTAATGGTGCACACACCCAGAACTATTCTGACCTCACATGTACTGTGCTTTAAGACATTCATGTTATTTAAATGAGTGACTTGCAATACATAACTCTAATTTAAATGATGAAAAATTATTGTTTTACCCTCAAGCAAATAATCATGTTCATCTTGACTCCTTTCCAGGTAGGCAAAATGGAGAATAAGAAAGCAAAGCATTCCTACAGATAATATGAAATATGACTAAGATGGGGTTTGACAGTTTTTAATACAAATATAACATGTAGTTAGTACATTTTAAATGATTCTTTAGAAAGTATACTTAGTACCCTAAGGATCCTCTAATAAAAGTCAAGTGGATTTGAACTCTCTAAGCTGCCAGGTACTTTGTAATATCTTCTTAAGGCAGGACAATGGTTTAATTGTAAGTCTTCTCTCAAAAAGAACCAAAAAAAAACCCTAGTAGGTGTTCACAATGTGATGATTAAGAACCTAATTTACCCATTCTCATTACTCTATTTGCATCCTACTTGTAACTCCACAGTTACATGGCTCATGGAGTTCAAACTAGTGTAAAAACAATGAAGTGGTGAAACAGTGTTTTATATGAGTACAAAGTACTGTGTATCATGAAAGTCTTTCCATTTACACCATTTTCACTGAAAGGTGGCACAAATTTTCAACAAAATCACAGTTTTAATGAAAAATCTCCTTGCTTTGAAAGGATACAGCTGAGGCCCCTCTCTACATAGCTGGCATGTTTCCTACAAATAGCAGTCTCTTTCGAGGTAGCCTCCTCAAGCTCTTAAAAGCTGAATGTTAAATCTCAAAAAGTTCATTATTCACACTTTATTAATTTTTTCTTTAATTAAAATGCAAAATTTACTTCTTAAATATATTCAGGGGAATGAACAGTTTTTGTGAGGTTCCTAGGTTAAACATTTTAAAGACCAGCTTAAGCTAACAAGCTCTGCCTTTCAGGATTTAAAAAGGATCTTTGCTTATGTTCACTCATGTTTGCTTATTATGATTTCATAAGTTACAGATACATATATATACTATTAAACAGAATTTACAAAAAAAATAGAAGAAAGATTTCTGTGTCTTTACAAGAAATCATCCTGTGACATTCATGAATGTTGTTACAAGAAATTATACTGTGACATTAGCGTAGTTTGAGACCTCCCGGTACTGTACATGGTGTCAGAAAAAACTTTCAGTGGCACTCATGAAATCCAAATCTGTTGAGTGGAGTTGCACAGATACTCTGTCTCAGAACTGCTAATGCATAATAGCATGCATGCACAGAGGGGTTTAAGCAAAGCATGATTGCAGGACCGGGAAGTCACTGGAAATTTGCTTCCTGAGCACCAGCTCAGCCCTGAGGTACTGTTGGGGGAATTCCTGTTTGTTCCAAGTTTCAGCTCAGGATTTCTAAGAGCTCCACTACTCAGCTTCTGAAAGAGAATGGATTTTTCTGTCATTTTCAGTAATAGGAAGGACTATCAGTTTAGTTCTCTTTGATGGAGTCTTAGGTTAGCAGTGATGTGAAAAGACATTGGCTTGGTTTTACTCCTTTTATTGTAACCTTGGAGACATTGGAAGTGTAGTGAGAATGACATAGAAAAGTTAATAACAAATTCACCACTATAACAAATTTTTCACCAAAATGCTATTACCAGAGTTAGTAAGAAACACATTTCATAGACCCATGATTTATCTGCACTACCAAACAGCCTTGTTAAAATACTGTCCTTCATGTTAAAATATCTGGGGTGAAAATCGAATAAGCAATCAAATAAAAAAATAGAAAATATCATTGAGCCCTTTCTGGAGAACAAATAAATGCCTAGATAACTTAGAAATTAAAACAAATTCCTGTCTTACAACTCCAATGTCAATGATATTCAGTTCTCTTAGGGAATAAGGACAGATGTATAATTTATGATTAAACCTATTCTGATGAATGTTCTCAACTCATACGAAATCCAGTGAATTCAAAACAGCTTAAGCTTCGTGGTGCCAAAGATGTTACTGAAATATTTTTTACGTTGGCCACCAGAGGGAGCCGATGTTGTCTCACATTCACAATAGGAGAGCAAGAAAAAACGCCAAAAGTGCATTTCAACCTGATTCCAAACTTACACAAAGTTTTTTCGTTTTTGGAGCAGTTTGCTGGGATTTTTTTCTGCAACTAAAAACAAAAAAAAATTGTTTCTAGATTATTTGTTAAATCAATTTCATCACAAATAAAAAGAAGATAAAATTACATTTTCAGGTGACGCCGCTGTGATGGCGTCTAGGAGATGCAAGCTCAAATTTCTGTTTTAAGCTTTCTCAAAGTATGGTGGCATATTTGGTTGGCTATTATATTGCATAGATATTGCCTCTGTATCTATAGCAGCTGTGTCCAAAGTGTGGTAATTAGTGCATATGGTTGGTATATGTGTTTAAAACATGCCTAAGTGCATAGGAGTAGGTCAGGTTCAGTGCCAGTACAGATAGACTGTTTTCCTAGGTGGATCTTATCAGCTTCAGTGTTAGAATTTTAAAATCATGACCAGATCTGTTTAGTATCTGCCTTCTTTCACAGACAAATTACTTCATTACCAGCAATTCAGTCACTTAGAGACTAAATCTCTGACTTTCAAAACATCCTTAAATATCTTTTCAACATGTAATACTTTCGAGTTTTTTCCTTTCAGATGGAATCTTTCAGGATCGAAATGAATGTTGTCTTTCTCACTGGGCAGATGGATTTCTTTTCCTTTTCTAGTGACAAGGCTGTAGAATAATACTAAACTTTAATTCCATTTTTATCTTCAGAAAATGTGCTACAGGTGCAGCACAGAAAATTATTCTGAGCAGGTAAAATATGGAGAAAAATATTCCAAATATATTAATGGAAAAAGGAAATATTTCTCTTCTTGTTTTTGAACTGGAATTATTTAAAGCTGTCTGTGGTATCTAGAGTGCTCCCCGTACCAAGGGAGAATGATTGGCAGAGAAATCATCCAGTTCCAATTGTATGATGAGTTGCAAAGATTTATGATGCATTTGTTTATTAAACATATGACCATCCAATCTATCATATGCCCATCATCTGTCCCTTTGTTCTGCTTTTTTGAAGTAAACTCTGTGATCATGATTCTCATACCCTCATCATTTATGTGTACAGTCAGTTTAAACCCTCCTTATTGTTCTGTCACAGTATAAAAGTGCTTCTTTTTGAAAGCTAGGCTGTGTGTGTGTATGTATGACAGCAGTTCTGTCTTCTGAGCTTGGCTCCCAGTCACTACCATGACTCTCAATATATATTTAGTGCATGAAGTAGGCACCATTTAGCGTTCCATACAAAAATACATGTTATTTTAGAAGACAGAATGGAACTTATTCCATCCCTCGAAAATTACAGCCATGTTGTTTTCTGATGTCATTGTAAAACTATGGACTCCCCCCTCAAGGACAGTGAAGCAGAATTGCTGTGTCTGTTTTCCCTTCTTATTCATAAGCTTATCCTATAGTAGCTCTGTGGCTAGAACAGTCCACTGTTAAAATTCATAAGAAGTTGACAAAACAAAAAGTGACATAATTAAGTCTTTGTTTATCTAGAAGAGCTTCCAGGTAATAAATGCTGATTTTTGCTGAGGTGGCTAAGGGGAGAGGTGATCTTGTACATTTCCCTGCAAGGATCCCCTGCTTTATTTCTTTTTTATTGCATACTCTTGTGTAGTGCTCTGGCACCATTTTGTAGTGGTAAATGACTGCTGAAAGCATCAAGTCCAAAGAAAGAATGAATGACTCTGGAATCTGGCAACAAACTGAACAGGTATCAACTACTGAGTTCTTTATATTCCTTGAATGTACATTGAACATGAAAGATTATTTTTTCTGTTCACTTCTAATTCAAAAATAGTAAATTTGGGTCACCAGATCTGCTTAATTTTTTCATGCCTTGAGAAAGTTCTAAGGGAGGAGACTGAGTCCTGGGTGCAAACACTGGTTGGATTGGGCTAATTTCATATTCCCTTACATTCCCCTGCACTGTGCTGCCTGCAAAAAAACATGATTTTGCAGACTTTCAGCCAGAAGTCAGTCTGAGTGTAAGGAAGCATAATCACTTTGAATAATCAAAGATAATATTTTCTGGTTACATTCGTATGGGATGGGACCCCAGTGAATCAAATAGTCTTTCCTGGTATTTAGATTTCTAACTGGCTACTTACCTATTTCATGTAGTGTAGAATAAACCTGAGCTTCCCTTCTCCCATCCTGACTAAATGTCAAGAAATTTCTTCTCTTAATTCCCTTGCAGACCAGCTTTGCAATCCAAGTGGTCTGTGGATAAACTGCGAATGTTTCTTCCAAGTGAAACCAAATTCCCTGTTGTCCTCTTCCTTCATCAAAAGAAGTGCAGTTTTAACCACAGGAGCTGTACCTTTAATAACTGAGCAGCATCCCTAGAATGGTGGAATGTGAGGAAGTTGTCACAGCCATACACACAGAACAACTTACACTTCATCAGTAACAAGTGGAGCTAAACATCTGTGTTCAACCAACTACGTGCATGTGGTGCAAGTGTGTGTGTGAGAACTTTGATCCTGGGTGTGAATTTGAAGTTATGCCAGGTTTACACATAAGCAATGGGCCAAATAAAATTGGAAGGGTGGTGCTTTAAGTGGCATATATAGTGCAAGTTCCTACTGATTCAAATGCAGTCAATGATCATGGAGCTGCAGTAAACAAACTGTTGAAATTTTTTCTCTGTTCCAGGTAGGTGATGATTCTAATACCAAAGTGCTTTTCCATCCTTAGAGGTGTTCATACTCAGCTTTTCCTATTACTACTTCTGAGTCAGAAAGCACAGACTAAAATGCCTGCCTACTTTCTTCTAAGAAATTGAGAATTCTGGCCATGCACATTTACTTCTGAGTTTTCAGGCATGAGGGAGTAAAGGCTGAGAGCAGAGACAGCTTCTCTTTTGTCTGCTCCTTTTGTGGATTCCATAATTGTGGTTCCTGGCATGGATAAAATAATTACATTCTAACCTACTACCATAAGCAAAGACTGGGTGTAATGGAGGACAAAGACATAAAACAAAATAAGATGGAAAGACCAAGAAAGGAGGACTGTGATGGACAAATACAATTTTTTCTTTGAAGACTATAGTGATTGAAATGTGAAAATAAAGTTGCTAAATATATGGTGCCCTCCTATAAACAGTGAAAGACTGGTAGGGGATTACCTGCTTACTTGTTAGAGCAAACAAAACAACTAAATTTTCTAATTTTCAAGCATCTAATAAAAATCATTATTGTTTTCTGATTTTTAAAACATGTAGGTAAGTATTTTTCTCTTCCATGTTGTTATTTTCCTCAGGTTTTTTTTTTTACTTGACACTAAGGTACAGTTTGCAAAAGCTGTAAAACTTAATGAGGAAATAGTTTCAGCATTTTTTCTAAACTATGTGGAAACATGCAAGAGATCTATTTTTAAGGTGTATCTGTGGATGAAACAGTCAAGATTTGAATAAATATACTTCTTCAAACATAAGAAGTATGACAAATTAGGTAAGAATTATAAAGACTGTAAGAAAAAATAATTAGTGGCCTTAAGTTCAAGATAACAGCCTTGTTTACTTAACTTTTACTTGTAAGAGGTGTACCATTTTGTAAGGCAAACTCTTCCAGACTTGTTCTCCAGAAAGCCTTACAGTGGACTGCCAAGGACTGTAGAAGGGCCACCTTATAGAACTTCCTGGTGTTGTTGGAAGTAGATGACACTTTGGAAACTACTGGGTGAATGCCTTGGTATCTTGGTTTTGTTCTGGAACCCTTTTTGGGTACTCCCAATCTCAGACATGCTAAATCAATACTTAACAGTGACACAATTATTTTTATGCCACAGTTTACCCCAATAATAAGAAACTTTTTTTTTCTTCCCGTAAGAGATCCTATTTCAATTAAATACAATGTGTGTGAATATTTTATTGATTACTTACTGTTTACTTCTAAAACCCCTTTCTGCTTGCCCTCAGAGAATTAGAACAATATGCTGATTAACTGACCAGTTAGTTACAGAAACTTAGAGGTTTAAGTGTCAAAAAATTCCAAATGAAAACATTCAGGTAAAAAAAAGGCACACATATACTGTAATTTGCTTGTTTGCTCCACTCCCTTGTGGACATGCCCAGCTTCCTCTGTACCTGGCAGCTTTCCTGTTCTGTGTTCATCACACTAATCAATGGGATTCAGATGTTTCCAAAATAAAATCATTTGTCTTCAGTCTGCTCTTATAAAGGACACAGACTGTACTATAAAGTCTTTCCTTCACTTTCAGGGTACATTAAATACATGCCACTGTTCATAATACAAGGCTTTGCCAATGTATTGATTGCTTTCTTTTATACAAAAAATCCTTGCACAGGGCAACTCCTTGTGGTTTTTTCCACAGACTTAAATTAGTGCCTGTGAGAAAATTCGCAGGCTGATAGTAATTGAAACAGAAGTCTTTAAATTTTCATGCTGTAATGAGAAGAGTAATAACATACCACCACCTTGATTCTGTGCTGGTTTGATAGGGGCTGCTCTAAGGTGAGTGGAAAGTTTTAAAATACCATGCTGAAATTATGACCGACCAGGAGAATTAATGTAATGTTGGAGTATTACTGTACAAACTGTACTGTACAAAGTGCAGCAGTGGCCACCTGCTAAAAAAAAGTTTCAAACACACTTCCTGGGTAATGGCTTTAGGAAAAAAAAATACGTGGTTCTATGGAGTTTAAAAGAGAAGGTGCCCTTTTTTTAATAGTCTTTGATTTTTTTATATTAGGAATAATAACAGGGAAGAGAGATGATAAAAATTAATAAAAAGGGGGAAAATAGATGGATATTAAAATCCCAGGACCCTTGAGGTTCTTGATTTTCAAAACCACAAATATTTGAGAATTTCTCCTTTCTTTTTTTCTTCTTTGTTTTCTTATTTTCTTCCCCCAGACCACCTCAAGTAATTTCTTAAGCATTTCTTTTGAACTTCTTTATTAATGACTGAGTTCTCTCATATCTGAACCCTATCACACTTGGAGTTGAACTTTTGCTATTGTTCATAGCATCCTTCTCTCAGTATCCCTGATAGATAACAGAAAATAAGCTTTTACATGTATTTGAGGAAAGTTTCTGCACTCTGTCCTTCTACCTCTTTATTAAACTTTTGTAACTGAACTTCAGGCTCTTATCCTTCCTGACTCATTCAGGAGAAGTTGGTAGCCAGTTTAAAAGTTACTGGAGGGTTTCATAGACAAGCTTAAAACCTATCAATTGCGTGACCTCCTCAGCCTAATTTGAGGAGGAACTGATGCTGAAAAGAAACAAACTCAAAGGCATTTCCAAATTTCCCCCTTTTATGCTGATCCTATTTAAGCCCATTAAGTCAGGTGAGAAATTCCCCGAACTAACTTGCCTATTTTGAGCGTATGATCATAGCAAACCTTCAAATTCTAGAAATGGCCCTGCTCCAGCAAAGCACTTAAGCATGCTTAATCAGGTACCCCATTATACAGCATGCACATTATTATTGAATGAACTGTGTAAATGAAAGCCTTAAAATGCTTCACATGAATAAAAATACAGACAAATTTTCCCTGTGGGGATTCATCCCATGCAGGAGATATCTGCAGCTTTGCATTTCAATCAGTGAACGGTCTGACCCTGCTGCTGTTGAAGTCAGGGGCAGAATCTATCTTCTGCAGTAGAAGCAGGATCTGATACTAACAGCACGTAATATGAAAGGGGCAATTTTTTCCAAGTGGGTGTTCAGATGATGACCCATTTCTTGCATCAGGCTATTGTTCACTAGAGGTGGCACTGCCTTTAACGTTTTACTATCCACAAATCAGTATAAAGCGTAACATCCAGTTACTGCTCTTGCATGTTTGCATCTCTTCAAGTTAATAGGGAAAGAGAGCCCCAGGGCAAAGCATGATAGATGAGATAATTGACTTCACACGAGGACTGTGGAAGAGCCGGCCAAATTCAGCTCTGACTTAAGTATTTCTATCTCTGCTTATGTCTGAAATAATCTGATGTAGTCCATCTGCTGCCAAAGTGGAATGGTGGCATGAGAGCACTACTATTCTGTGAGTATTTTGTTCACTACTTGTCCAGTATTCCCCTTCTTACTAGGGAGAGCTTCAGTGTGCACTGCTGGAAAAGATAACTTCATGGATAGTGTATGGAGGTCATTGTATCAAGAACCATAAAGTGGTTTGGATTGGAAGGGACCTTAAAGATAATCTATAGTTTAACACTCCTGCATGGACAGGGGTGTTAAATGGAATGGAATGTATTCCATTAGACCAGGTTGCTCAAAGCCTCATCAAACCTGACATTGAATGCTTCCAGGGATGGGACATCCATAACTTCTCTGGACAACCTGTTGCAATGTCAAAATGAAGAATTTCTTTGTAATGTCTGATCTAAATCCACCCTCTAAAGTGATTTCCCCTTGTCCTATCTCTACATGCCCTTGTGAAAAATCTCTCTCCAGCTCTCTTGGAAGGCCCTCTTCCAGGAGCTGAAACATGCTATCAGGTCTCCCCAGAGCCTTCTCTGTGCCACGCTGAACAAACCCAGCTCTTTCAGCCTGTCTCCACTGGAGAGGTGCTCCAGCCCTCTGATCATCTTCGTGGCCCTCCCCTGGACTTGCAATACCCTCCCTGCATTTGATTCTTGGCCTATGCTGTGATTGCTTGGCTATGTCTGTCACTAAAAAAGAAGTCTGTCTCTTGCTATAATTCCACAGAACCAATTGCCCTGGTGATCCTCAGCAGCGTGCATGTGCCTGGTTCCTGCTAGTTTAGATCCAGGGGTGCCTGGCAGTGTTTTAGGTGGAGGGTGTGATTGGCACACACTGTCCTGGCCTCACTGCTCTTGGTTTGCCCTCATCCCAGCACAGGAGTCCAGCCTTTAAAGGGCCTAGGAAACATCCTTTGAAAATGGTACAATGCCCTTGTGCAGGGTATCACTCAAGAACTTCAGGGACATGCTATGTGTACTCCAACCCTTGGTTTTCTTCCCTGCAAGAATAATTTTTTCTTTACTGGGCAGTTCCAGAAGGCAGACTGTTTTAGTGATAAGAAGAGGTCACATACTCAAAGTAGTGTCTCACTAGGTTTATGCTTTTATTGATATAATTGGATGTCTTACAGAAGTACAATAGCAGAGTAATCCAGTGTGTATGTGCAGTAAAATGTGGTATAACTCAGAAAATAACCATGCTCTTCTAGGTTAAAATATTTCTGGAAATATAATTGCCAAAGTAAACCACCAGCCCAAGTTTATTGAAAAGCCTCTTGGAGGCAGAAGCACATATTCCACTGATCAGGAAGGTCAGTTAATGAACATCAAAAGACGTCAGAGTAGAGTTTTGTATCTTTATACTATGGAGGTGTATGAAAATATTTTCATATCTAAATTTGGAGCTAGCTGTTGAAACTCTGTGTAGGTATTTACAATGTTGGTGGTTTGGCTGAAGTATGTTTTGGCCAATTAAATGGAGTTGTTTTATGTCATTTTAATTTAAGTTAAGTAGTTTCTTCACAAAATTTTCTCAGGGCTCTGTCTGACTTCAGATTATACTAAGGTACTAGCCTATAAAAAGAGAAAGAGATGTACGGGCAAATGATGGATGCACTGATAGGGAAACTAGAGGGATGAAATCCCATTTTGTTAATCATCACTCTAGCCTGTAGTTCACTAATAGCTTTTAGTATTAAGCAAAACCAGTATTTGTTGCCATTACTGCCCATAAGTCTGCATTGATAGGAAGGTTTTCTCCCAGTTGTACAGCAGTTCCCAGTATAAATGCTTTTGTGCCCAAGACAAGTACACTTTGTCCCAAAAACTAGAAGGCATCTGTTCAAAAAATTTTATTTGTCTGTAATACCTAATGGTTTCAGTAATAGATTATTGCATATTGACCTGATTCTCTTTCACCCTTCCTAACTTTTAATCACTTTTAATTAGGAATAAATACACAACTGGGAGACGAGTTCTGGAAAGAGCTCTTAAATCCCACAGGGGTGCCTTTACATATGTGTATGTGTGCTTGGTTTAGGGTTGGGTTTTTGTGTCTCTGCTGAGTTTGCTGGCAGCCAGTTGCTGGGGAAGGAGGATAATTACAATACAAAAGTGTTTCATGTTTTTCTCCTGTGGATGATGCTATAAATATAAAATTGCAGCAGAGATTTTATAGAATTGTTAACAAACTAAGGAAGATAATTAATTTATGCAGAGTACACAAGAGCAAAAAGATAGTGAAGTTTAAAAAGAAAAGTTGAGCAAATGGCCTTTTTTTCTGTGGTCTTAAAAATCATCTAATAAAATGTTGTTTTGTTGCATAGGTACACTAATAATATCTGGTTTTAATCATTACACTACATATGCTTTTCAAGCAATTTTATAGAGTGTGTTCTCTAAGGTGGCTTATGAAAATCACCTTCACAGTCCATTTGTTTAGATGCTGCAGTGTGCTTGAGTGAAAGCCAACCACCTTTGAAAAGGATGTGGATTGCCCAGATCTATCACTTAAGACTAATAAATCCCTGCAAAATGGGGAGAGTGGGTTATTTCTTCATCAGTATCATATGCTGGGTAGTCTCTGGTTTTAGATCTAGATTTTCCTGTCCTGAAAACACCCTCAAAAATAACACATGTTATTTAACACAGCATGTCACCAGTGTTACACATGGTGATTTATGAAAGTGCAAGTTCAAAGTTATCTATAATTGCTCTTAAATACATTTCTGTGTTATCTTCCTCCTCTAACCTACATTGTCTGCATGTTTATAGTCTTTTTGAATTGCGCAGATTAGGCACTCTGCCTGTCTCCTCATCTAAGTAAGGGACCATCCAGAGCCGTGAAATCACCTTATGAATCATTCTAACTTGCTGTTAACCTCAGAAAGTGAACACCGGGAACTGATGTGAAACTCTCCCCATCATACTTCATTATGTATAAAAGGAAATTAACAACTCAATCTACTGGTTCCTTTTCCAAAATCTATCCTTCCCAAAGCCAAGTGACAATGTTCTCTGGTTAATCAAGGAAAGATCTACTTTGACACATGATCCTTTTACTGTCAAAGATCATTTTACTCTTTGTATTGCTTTTATGACATCTGATCCCTTTGAATAAGGAAGGCTAGTTACTGGCTATGATGTAGAGTTGTCAGAGAGTCCAAACAAGGCTTTTATAAAAGCAAGGAGCTAGTGGGTTCAAGAGGGTGCCAAAATGGAGAGGATGAAAAGCAGTTCAGCAATAGCAGCAGCATTCTAGGTCAAATGGGCTTTGCAGGGGTCAGAGAGTCTTTTTTCAGTCACTGAAGAAAGGATTGTGGGAAAGAAATAGGAATAATAAAGTCCAATATGTTGATTTTTCCCCTGTCTGAAAATCTGTGCTGCATTAGTTCAGAAATTTTTCTTTGCCTGTTTGGCAGGTGGTAAAAATAAGAGTCTGAAATGGTAGAGGGTAGCAGACATTTACTTGCAGGGGTAGCTTCCTCAGAGACTTCCAAGAGCCAGCAGACTTTTTAGGCATTGTTGTTTTGAGAGAAAGACTTCACAATCATTTTCAGTATATGTTTGAAAGGAAAAGCAAACATTAGTGCACAGATCTTCACAGCTGCTTGTACATGGAAAAACAATGGAGGGACTGGAACACTCTTCACTTCTCATTCCCTGGCTTGATCCTATCTTGTATTGCCTTTGGTGTAGGAAACTCTATTGCCAAAAAAGCTTTTATGAAAGTTACAATACTTTTCTGTTGTGTTATCAACTAACAACAAACAGACAAGTTTAACCCCAAGGGAAGTGCTTAACTACCTTAAATTCATAAGGCAGGTTAAATGAGTCCACACTACATTTATTTTTCAATAGGAGAGTAGACCTAGGTAGCTAAGTTAACTGTCATTAGTTTGGGATTGACTATGGAAATGCTGAAGATTCACAGGGTGTAACTAATGACACTCCATTTGTACCTTTCTGATGATATGTCTGGTGAGACATGTCCTTTGTGTCTTTTAATTTTTGTTATTGGCTAGCATATAAAGGAATGGATTTACTTTTGTTTGCAGTGTTTGTAGTGAGAATGACTTCAATTAAAGAGCCTATTGGAAAACATGAGGATGGGGCATAAGACTAGGAAGGAGACTGAAAATATCTCATTATGTGAGACTGGAAGTCGCATGCAGGGCTGTGTGAGTCAGCAACGTGCCCTTGCAGTGATGAAGCACTAACCACAGGCTGGGTTGCACTAGCAAGAGCACAGCCAGCAGATCACAGAAAATGATTATTCCCCTTTACTTAGCTACCATGAAGCCACATGTGAGTCCATTGTCCAAAAGTGAGTCCAGTTTTGAGTTCTGTGTAACAAGATACTGACACACCGGAGTGTGTCACGAAGCCTCAAGGATGTACACAGAGGTGCTGAGGCAACAGGACTTGTTCAGCCTTCTCCTGCAAAGGGGAAGGGTAAGGAAATTTTGAATGCTGTCTTATATCTAAAGGAAGAGGAAAGACTGAGACCTACTCTTCTCTGAGATTCACTGCAAAAAGATAAGACTGCAACAGTGACAAGTTGCAGCTAGAATTTTTTTAGGTTGACATTAAAATAATGTTCTTAAGTGGGAGAAGCATTAGATGCTGCCCAGGGAATGATTCATGATTTTTTCCAGAGAGGCTGTTGGGTCTTCATCTTGGAGATTTTCAAAGCTAAGCTGTTCAAGGCCCTGAGCTACTTTGTCAAAGCTGGAAGATAGCCTTGCTTTGAGAAGGACATTGAGCTAGGTGACCTCCAAAGGTTCTTTCTAAATGAAACTGTTCTGTGATTCTGTGACCTAAATAAACTAAGCCAACATTAATCTGCTCTACATCCTCATTTTGGAGGAGGGCTGGAGCTGCAGAGCATGGTACCTCAGCTCTGGCCTCTTTTTGAGTTTCTGCAGGGCAGTTCCAAAAGCTGGGAGAGAAGTGCTTTGGAATTGATCCATTCCCCCACTCCCATAATACTATTGTTAAAGTATAACAGTGGTCATTTATTTTCTCTTTGTTTCTTTGATTTATTTTTTTTTTAATAAGGAAGTATGCATGTAGGCTTAAATATGCTAAAATTAAAATTTTAATTATGATAGAGAGAAGACCACCCATTCTGTCTACTGCTTTATCTGCTTATTGAGTGATCTTTAACACCTGTCTCTTCATACAGGTTTTTGATCCATGAGAAAAATGAGTAAAATGTAACAAGATCACATTGTACCCGTGTGAAAACCCTTAAGCTAATCCTGTGTTCTTCATTTTCATAATCTCTGTAAATAATTGCCATAACAAATGTTATCTTTTCCTGTTTCTTCTATCAGCCCACTTCCAAGCATATGAAAAAAAATGCACAGTACTTTAATACTGGTCTTTTGTGATGGTCTCAGCTTTTTACTGCCAGGACAAATAATTAGAGCAGAGTTTCTTTCTCCTGATAGAAGTTTTAAGTACTGTCAGTGAAAGAATTATGTTATAATTTAAGAATCATTGTAAGAATTAATATTCTTTAACATAATGAACTTTGTGGTAATTTTTTACAACTTTATTATAATAGACCAATCAGACTACAGCAAAGCAATTTTAGTCCATGCAAAGAAAGTTCTTTGGCAGTGGAACAAATGATGAAAGAAACTGTAAAACAGTTACCAACATGTTAGCAAGAGTTAGGTAAGTTAGAGAAACTCTGCATCTCCAAAATGCTTGTGAAGTTCAGGTTATTCATCATGTAAGGGTTGAATCAACTGTTACATCTTATGTCTGTCCTTATTAAATGCTATAACAAAACACCACCAGTGCTGTAAAACCAGGTCACAGCATTTCCTGATTAGTTAGGATTTGCACTCTGTGCCCATTGGACTCAGAAGGAGTGATGACTTGGGCTTTGGTGACTGATTTTGTAAGTCCAGATGGGATAGGCATCTTTTGAACACTTATGTCCAATTCTAATCTAATTCAATTTCAATGGTGGTTATTTTCATAGTAGTAATCAAACTGAGTATTTTACCCATGGAAGTCTTCACATATTGAATGAAATCTTCATTTCTGAAAGTGCTGATTCGCATTTAAACCAGGTGAGGTTTATCTGTCTCCCCATCACTGGCATTCTGGATGAGTAATGTGTACATATATGCAATATCTAACTGCACGAGTGCAGATATGACTCCTCTAAACTCAAAGTTCAGTGTTTTCCTAATTACTTACAGGCTATTGAGATTAAGGCAACAAGATCTCTTTTGTGTTAAACAAGAAGCTCACATTCCTTACTCATGAGCTACTCTCCTCTTTCCCTCTTGGTGATCACAGGCAACATTTTTGCAAACAGATGTCCCAGTCCGTCCCCCTCTGCAAGAAAGCCTTTGTAACTTGTGGCTGACCTAATTGTGCAGTGGCAGCACTGCTGCTGTGAATCTGGGGAGATCCCTGGTACAGCATTCATGTGGGCTTAGCAGTGTCTGCAGCCTGAACCAGGATATAGGTAAGCAGCAATGCAAGGCTTTGAAGGACTCTCTCCAGTTTCATGTGGGGGTGAGATGTCCCACGGAGATTTTAGAATAGCTTCAAGACCATGGACTGACTTCTACATGCTTTTCAGTACCACACCCCACCAGTGAATGAGCTAGCTTTACTGAAAATTGTTATACGTTTGAAAACTCAGCCTTCTGTATAGAAATCTTTCAATACTATGTTATCTGTGGCAATTGTTATTTGTACTTTCAATTCTGAAGTACTTGCTTAATACTCTTTCTTAACCTGGATATGTCTACATGAGGTCTGATGATCAGAGCCTGAATTTGTCTTAGTGTTATGAGAGAGGAAAGAGAAGAAAATGTTGGGATTTTTTTCTTTATTCGACCCACAGAAAACCTCAGTATTGCCATCATTGTGGTCACACTGTATTAATGTTGGGTAGAGAAAAGAAATGCAAAAATTGCAAGGCAGAATCACATCTACTACTAAATGTTACCTTGTTCTTCTTGTAGAATTAGCAAGTTTTATAAAGTATTTTCTGTCTCCTGAAGACAAAACCACTCGGTAATGTTGAGGTAGGCTTTCTTCATGTCATGTGTCATTACCCAGTAATCCCCATCCCATCTTCAGTGTGCACCAGTGAAGACTTAATCAAGCATGTAGGACAAAGAATAGTTCTTACTTAATCCATCCAAGAATGGCTCAAATTTGAAACAGGGGTGTTTTAGTGCTGCTCTTAGCTAAAACAAG